TTCTATGAGGATGAGCTGTGAACAGCCAATGAGTGGAAAGGATGTTTCTTTGGGGGTGTGGCCTGCTCCCAATATAATGGACATGCGCAAAAGACTCTCTCTTCTGCAGTGCACTTGGGACTCTACAATTAATTGTAAGTCATTTCTTTGACAATGAACCTTTATATATATATATATATATATATGTTTCACTGGTTTTGCGTCTCCAGAAAACCTGGCCTAAGACAGTGGTTTGTTTTTTGTTCTTTAACTAGAGGAGAGTGGACATCCTTGTCTTGCTCCTGATCTTAGGAAGAAAGTTTTTGGTCTTTTCCAACTGTGAGTTAGATACAAACTCTTGTCAGTCATTGATTAAGTTTTCTCTGGGGGATGGAGCATTAATTCCCTATCCTTCCAACTGTCAGGTGAGTGGCAAACTGTGGGTAAGCAGCTAAAGAGAGCCGTCAGGCTCCGCTAACAACTTTTAACCTGAGAATTGGCAGACAAAGGTGGCGGTATCATGTATATTAAAAACTGGCTAATATGAGGTTATTGCAGATACCACATTCATTATGCTGCAGTATGTACATAGTTATCTTAGAAATTAGCTGTCTGTGCTAGTTTACAAATACTGTACCAGTATTTATCATTTTAACACAGTGTTATGTGAGAAATGTTACTGGGGATGTAGATCAGCCACTTTCAAGGTGCTGCCATCTACCTAGGAATGAATGACCAAAAGCCTTTAACCATTGCTACTACAAAGCGGCAAAGTCAGAACTGGATCTTTCCTTTCTAAAGAGCTCTTCTGGTTAGCTACACCTGAATCCTTTAATGGTGTACCGGTGCTAGTCTGCATGTAATAATGCTGATAATAATGTTTTGCTACAGTTTTCAGGTGAAAAATATAAATAATTAGCCAAAAAAAAAGAAAAAAAAAAGTGAGAGAGCGAGCCCTCAGTCACAGAAGTGCAGATATCGGCCTCAAAGTGGGCTCTGTGTGCACATAGCAGTGAGGATGTGGGCGGGGTCTTACAGTGTTTTCTACAAACATTTGACTATCATAAAAAATATTCGCAATTGATGAGCTGGTGTATGCTTTGTTATGTATATTTTTATCACAATAAAGGGAAAAACTCATCAATATTGGATGTCTTTTCACACATGTGGAATAAATATTAAATTTCCAAGGAGAAATTTTAAAAAACCCCCAAAACCAACATTTTCAGTCTCCATATGATAATAGCAGCAGTCTAAATCCAATTCTTTCTATATATCCTCCCAAAATGACTCAGTTCAACAAAAAAGAAAACAAAGCCCACTCATAGCCCAACCTTCCAGCATAATTAGCCTGTGGCTGTCTCACAATAACCTATAGAACTGCTTCATAGTGTTTACAAGGCAAGGGCCAAACCCACCAGCTGCTCCTCGGAAACCCTACATAGGCTCACCATGAGTCGGAACAAACTTGACAGCACTTAACAACAACAAATCTTTCTAAGAACATAATTTAAAAAAAAAATCAAGCCTTGTCTGTCGAGTAGATTCCGACAGACACTATTGGTGTTATTTTTAAGAGCTGTCACATTGGTTCTGACCCATAGTGATCCTGTGTAGGGTTTCCAAGAAGCAATCTGCAATCATGCATTCACCCACGGTGCCACACCTGGACTTGTGTCAGGACCGAGTAAAGCTGCAGCATAGGATTCCCAAGGCTATGAATCTTTACAGAAGCAGATTGTTACATCTTTCTCCTGCAGAGTGGCTGGTGGGTTCAAACTGCCAATGTTTTTGGTTTTTAGCCAAGCGCTTTAACCACTCCATCACCAGGGCTCCGTACAGCATAACTGAAAACCAAACTCACTGCTTTGAGTCAATTCTGATTCTGAGCAGCCCTATATGGGGTTTCTGAGACAGCACATCTTTATGAGTGCAGATGGTGGGTTGGAACTGCAGGCCTTGCAGTTAACAGCCTAATGCTTAACCCCCAGCACCATTAGGGTGCCTTACAATATAATTGTTGTTGTTGTTGAGCCGGTTCTAACTCAGTGACCATTTTTAGGGTTTCTAAGAGCTACTGGTGGATTTGGACTGCCAGTCTTGTGGTTAGCAGTCCAGTACTTATCCTACAGCGACAGTGTAATTAAGGACCCCTGGTAGTGCAGTGGGTTAGAAGTTGGCTGCTAATTGCAAGGTCAGCAGTTTCAATCTACCAGCTGCTCTGTGGGAGGCTGTCTGCTCCTGTAAAAGACTTACAGCCTCAGAAAACACAGTCACAATGAATTGGAACCGATCTGACAGTACATCCGACCACCACCACCACAGCAGAATTACTACTGTTCGTGTTAGGTGCCGTCGTGTCGGTTCTGACTCAGAGTAACCCTAGGCACAACAGGAGACACTGCGCGGTCCTGGGCCAGCTTCACAACTGTTGTTACCTTTGAGCCCATTGTCGCTGCCACTTGCCAATTCATCTCCTTGGGGGACTTCCTCTTTTTCACTCACCCTCCTTTTCACCATTCCTTCTCCAGGGACTGATCCCTCCTAATAACATGTCCTGGTTTCTAAGGAGCATTCTGGCTGTATTTCTCCCAACATAGATTTGTTTATTCTCTTGGCAGCCCATGGTACTTTTAATATTCTCCTCCAACACCATAACTCAAATGCATCAAATTCTTCTACTGTCTTCCTTATTCACTGTCCACCTTTCACATGCATATGAGGCTACTGAAAATCTTACGGGTTACACAGAAAATACTACAAACTCTGACAGCTAAATGCTACACCTGGCTTCTGCTGGCCTGACACTAGGGAGTAGCCTCTCCTACCATCGGCCCTTGGCCCATGCCCAAGCACAGGCACCAAATGCGGGGATTCTCAACCAGTGAATCTTAGTAGCTGTGATAATAACAGCATCCCAGGGTTGTCACTGTCATGGTCCCCATAAATGAATCACTCAGAACACTGGTGGTTAGGGGGAAGCTCTACTAAATAGACCAACCAGTATCTAACTTAGTCAAGTAAAAAAATGAAGAGGCAGAGATACAAGAAGGGGAGGGAAGGAGGGAGAGAAAGGAATCTCAAGAAGGAAATGACAAGAAGCAAACAGGACAATGTGAGGGTGGAGGGAAGGATGCGGGGGCTGAAAGGGTAATGCATGAGTTGGGATTTAAAGAAAAAGAGACAAGTTGGGGTGGTGTGGAAGCATTTGCAGAGGGTGGGACTGCATGTCCACAGGCCTGGGATTGTGAACTAATTGGACACAACGGGGACCCACAGGGGAGGATCTTAGAGGGTGGGACATATGTAGGGAAAGTGTGCAAATGAGACTGGAAAAGTTGGCAAGGAAATGATCGTGTTCTGTAGGTTAGAGTTTGTGGTTCCACTGGCCTGAGCCTAGGTGTGGGAGCTCACTCCCTCTTCCATGATTTCAAGCTACCAGCAACAATGTCTAGTACAAGATACCTAATATAAAAACAGCTGTAGCCATACATTAACAGAACTTCCAGAGGTTCAAGTCAGATTCAGCAGAGGATGTGGAATGAGGGACATTACTGCTGATGTCAGATGGATCTAGGCTGAATGCAGAGAATACAATAAAGATGTTTACCTGTGCTTTATTGACCATGCAAAGGCTTTTGATTGTATGGATCCTGACAAGCTCTGGACACCACTGCAGAGAATGAGGATTCTGGAATACTTCATTGTGCTTATGAGGAACCTTTATATAGACCAAGAGGCAGTTGTTTGAACAGAATAAAGGAACATCAAATGGTTTAAAAAAAGGAAAGGTTGCACCAGGGTTGTACTCTTTCACCATACTTATTCAATCTATATGCTGAGCAAATAATTTGAGAAGCTGGATTATAGGAAGAAAAATGTGATATCAGAGTTGGAGGAAGATTCATTAACTATGATACAACCTTGCTTGCTGAAAGTGAAGAGGACTTAAAATATTTACTGATGAAGATCAAAGATCATAGCCTTTGGTATGGGTTGCACCTTAATGTGAAGAAGACAAAAATCCTAACCACTGGACCAGTAAATAACATCAAGATAAATGGAGAAAAGACTGAAGTTGCCAAAGACGCCATTTTACCATCAACATGAGTGTTGATGGCACCAGTCACAAAATCAAATATTGTATTGGCATTAGGCAAATCTGCTGCACAAGACCTCTGTAAAGTGCTCAAGAGCAAAGATGTCAGCTTGAGGACTAAGGTGTGCCTGACCCAAGCCATGGTATTTTCAATAACTTCCTATGTATGTGAAAGTTGGACAATGAGTAAGGAATTGATGCATTTATGGTGTTGGAAGAGAATATTAAGAGTACCATGAACTGCCAAAAGAACAAACCAATCTGTGTTGGAAGAAGTACAGCCAGAGTGCTCCTTGGGAACCAGGATGGCTTCAGGCATATTATTAGGAGGGAACAATCCTCTTGTGGTTAGCAGTCCAATGCTGTTCCTCCAGAGCCACACCAGGGCTCCAGGAAGAACACTGGTTAGCACAGTTCTCTTGGTGAGAGAGGGAGGTTCGTTTAAAAGCACACTCTTGACTTTTCCTATTTTCATTTTTTGAAGTGGTCAACCTTTTTTCCCTGACAATGTATTTACAGAGCTGCTCAGACGTATCTGATGAGGCTCAGACTGAGCTGGTCTTTGCAGGTCCGAGAAGGGCAGCCAGGCTAGAAACAGTCATGCTGTCCACGCCAGCTCTGGAGGGGTGCCTAAGACTGAGCACAGAGACTGCAGAGGGCCGAGCTGGGCTCCTGGACTACTGTGACCTGGGGGATGGAAGGAGGAGGGTGTGGGAGAAGAAATGATGTTCAGATTTAGGACCCATCCCACCCATCAGCCACCTCAGGCATGGTCTCAAGAAAGAGAAAAAAGACGTGCACTCAGTCCTCCCCATCAGCTCCCAGGAACTGTGACCGCCTCTACCTGCACCCTAATGGCTCCAGAGCTTCAAGCCAGGCTCCACCCCAACCCCTCCATTCTCCAAACGAGCCCAGCACAGTGTGAATGAAAAATCAGCTTTAATCATTCAGCTTCAGCTCAGCTGAGAACGTCCCCTCTCAAGGCAAAGGGATGGGAAGAGACATCTTTCCAAAAGGCTTCAGTCCACTACGAGGCTGCGGTTCAGAGAAGGGAACAGCTCAAAGAAGCCCTAAAATGGGAAGAAAAGTGGGGTCTACAATGAGGGGGGACCAGACAGACATGCCCTGCCGCTCACTCACCCTCCACCAACATAAGCCAACAAGACTTGTTTTATCTATCGCTTGACCATGGCCACACCTTCCCATCCCTGGTCCCTCTACTGCCTGTCGTTTCCCTGTGGGGGCCGGCCAAGGCTTGCTTGGCCAGATGGCAGCATCCTGTCAGCCAGTCCCCATCACCTAAGTCAGCCACTGAGTGAGGCTTGGTGCTGCCCTGGTGAGGGGCTGGGATGGAAGTTACCTTGAAGAGCGTGAGGGTCTGGAGTACTCCCGTGGTGCACGCTGTCTCCCGGATGGAGTGCATGGCCAGTTGGGGGCTGCCCAAATCTAGGACCCGCAACCCCAGCCGAGAAGCCAGGATAGGTCCAATGGTGGTCCCACAGGTGGAGTCATTGCGGACCATAAGATCCTGGGGGAGGGGAGATGATGCTGAGCCGTGAACAGTGTGTGTTCATTAGGCCAAGGAGAAAGTCACCTGCCAGGCTGAGAGGAAGGGGCCTGAGGGACCCTCAGGTCTATCCCCAGAGAAAGGAGCCCTGCTGGTGCCATGGTTAAGTGCTCAGCTGCCAACCAACAGGCTGGCGGTAGGAACCCACCCAGCAGTTCCATAGGAGGAAAGCACTGCAGATCTGCTTCCTGACAGATTACAGCCTAGGAAGGAAACCAGGACATTCTGCTCTGTCCTACCAGGGCACCGGGAGCTGGAATTGACACACGCAACAGCTCCCCAGGAGAGTGGACGAGACTGGGTGAATCACAAAGCCAGCCCTTAGTGACAGACCTCAGAGCACAATACAGTCTGACTTGTCCCAGTCTCTCTAGCCACTGTTACCCTGCCTCTCATAAATAACCCACTCTCCACACAGCAGCCAAGGGGGCTCAAAAACCCAAACAGACTCATCCCTGTCACCCTCTTTTCCCAAAGACAAAGCACTCAGCTGTGTTAGTGTTTTAAACATATTGCTGTTGATATTTGGAAACAATTCTCTTTGTGCTATGGTAAGAAGCAAGGAGTCCTGGTGTGGCGCTGTGGGCTAACGCGTCCGACTGCAAAGTCGTTTGAACTGCAAGGTCAGTGGTTCAAGCTCATCAGTGGCTCCTTGGAAACCCTATACAGGGTCGCTATGGGTTGGAACTGACTCAATGGCACTTAACAACAACATGGTCAGAAGCAAGCTGAGGAACTCATAATAGAGACATTAGGAATCAGGGTTTTCAGTGTAGAAGAGGGACTGATAGAATCTAACACACGAAGTATTAACGGTTGCTATTCTTTGAATAAGATCCTCCCAGAGCTGCCTCCTTCTCATTAGGGAGTCCTCAGCTCTGCATGGGCAGGGCAGGGGCTACGGAGCAGGGAGAACCCTGAGCTGATGGGAGTCAGCAGGCCAGGGTCCCAGTCCTGACTCCACATGAACTTGCTTGTTATACAATGAGTCACTCGACTACACAGGGCCCCGACACACACACACACACACACACACACACACACACACACAATCCCCTCTGCACTGGGAGAGAAGGAATTAGACATGTGATTTCCAGGATAAGGGGGAGAGAGGCTGTAAATGTTCCTTACAGAAGCTCCCGGGTAAGAAGAGAGACGGGACAACCGAGGGATGCAGTATGAACCCGCCAAGTGCCAGAGGCACACTACATTGTCAATGCTCACAAATCAGGCAGCAGCATTATCATCCTCATTTTACAGATGTGGACACTGAGACTCAGAGGTTACGAGACCTGCCCAAAGTCACAGCTAGTACCTCAACAACTAGCTCTGCCCATACCCCAGAACCTCTGCTCTCCCTCCAGTGGGACCCCCTCCACTAAGGTCCTTTCCCAGACTCCATCCTAACTGGGGCACCATCAGTTGGTACCCTCCCGCCCTGCTCCCTCTGATACACCTTCCTAGGCAGGGCCCACTCTCACCTGTAGAGGCACCCCGACATTGTTGGCCACCTCTCGGATCAGGGCCTCGGAAACCGCGTTCGAGGCATAGCGCTGTTTGCTATTCACCTTGATCACAGGGCCCTGGAGTGGGGAGAGGGAAGAGAGACAGGAACGAGATGGGTGACAAGCCCAGGGAATGAGATAGGGCCCAGAACTAGGCAGGCATCCAAGTCCCTGAGAAGAATAGGAGTGTCTCACCTTATGGAATAAAGGCCGGTGGTTCTCCTCATGCTTGTCTCTGAAAGATGTTAAGGGCAGGGATGGCAAACAGGAGCCGGGCTTGCCAACCCTCACCACCCTTCCCAGGGCAGACATTACTAATGGATCACAGCATTCTGTCCTGCCCAGTCCACAGGACCTCAGAGTCATTCTAAACACTGTGCTCTAAGCAGCAGCAAACAATAGGTATCAGTGTACGACATGGGGCCTACTCAATGGCAACAAGAGGTCCCCAGTGAACCTTCCAGCAGACTGAGAAAGGAGGGGTCAGGGTGGAGCCTGCCAGTGCTTATGTGGGCCCGACTGTGAGGGTTGCGAGTGGGGCATGGTATCTCACTCACAGGTAGTTGGGGTGCACTGCATGGGCCATGTCAGCGCTGATCATGAAGGACTTGGGAATAGCTTCCTCGAAGGCCGTCAGGTGCTGGGGTGAGGCCGAGATCCGCCGCAGCACCAGCTCTGTCAACAGGGACTGTGCTCCTTGGGCACTCTCAGACCCCACCTGGCAAAAGCAGAGGGCTGACTTTGGGGACCTGGGGTCAGGGGCCTGAGCTGAAGCCGAGAGGCCCGGAATGGCCCAGGATCCCAGAGTCACTTAGGTGAGGGATGAGGCTGGTTATGAGCAACTCTCTGGTTCCGGGATTCTGGTGGTGGGCTGGGACCCAAGTAATTCAGAGACACTTCTGGGGTCAAACTGCATTTATGGCCCACCCCCTTCCTTCTCCAGTAACCTTCACATCTGGGGCTCAGCACAGGTTCCACACTGGTCACTTTCCTTGGATGCATGTAGACATGGTTATGAAGAGTTCTAAACCGTGGAGTGTCAGATGGATTTCTTTAAAAGGCATGGCTAGATGCTAATCCTTCACCCTTTTCCCTCTTTAAGTGTGGTGCTGTGGGTTAATGCTCTAGACTGCAAGGTCAGTTTGAACCACAAGGTTGGTGGTTCAAGTTCACCAGCCGCTCCTTAGAAACCTTATACAGGGTTGCTGAATTGGAACCGACTTAACGGCACTTAACAACAACTCAGTGTAGGCATAACGGAGTAGGAACTGCCATTCTGGGTCTCAAGGTGAAAGGCATGTGTTCAGGACAGCAGAGACCGATCCTGAACTTCTAACTCAGACCTGCCCAATAACACGATAGAAAACTACCATCCATCTGTTCAAGCCAATGTGTTTTGGAAGCTCCACTATGGTGTCTTGAGCCTGGCCCGTAACACAGGGCAGCAGAATGGCAGGCTGTGTGTCGAGTCCTGAGGCACTTCCTTGTCCTGGAGGAGCTAGTCTAGAGAGACTAGAACTCAGGTCACATTAGAAGCAGGAGCCAGAGAGAAGCCCTGTAGCTGAGGAAGTCCAGGCAGTATGCCCCACTGCCCCCCAATCACTCCCATCTGCAGCGCCTCTAGAGTCACCCTGGGTCATGGTGGGCACCTGGTACAAGTTGGCTATGATCGAGGGGTCCCCTCCCCATACCTCTTCATTGTCGTAGAGTGCAATCAGGCGCACATGGGGCTCTGTGGCCAAGGAGGCAGGGGCTGCGCAGGAATCGATCAAGGCCTGGCTCAGTGGGGAAACAAGAGCACCATTGTCACTGGTTTCCTTGGTAACTCAGCCTCCCCAACAGCTCGGAGACTCAGACTCCCCTACTGGTTTTCCAGCACCATGGCCTTCCCAGCTTGCCTCTCAGGGCACTGCCTGGTGAGGGGCAGACTGGGAGACACCATCCTTAGAGCATGCCCTCACACCTTTCCATGTCAAAGGCAGGAGGAAACGGAGATAGAGAGGGAGAACAAAGACTCCATAAGGCAAAAAGGAGGGTGACATCATGGGACAGATTGGCCTCAGTTAAAAGACTGAGGTCCCCAGATGTGACCGTGACTCCATCAAGGCCACATGGCTGCAGACACAGGTGCAGATCCCAGGCCTGGCTCTGGTTCTTCCAATCATATCCCAAAGTCTGTCTCCAGCAAGAGGACAGACAGGGAAGGACAGAGAAGGGGCGAGGGCAAAGGGAGAGGAGGAACTGTCTTGGTGTGGATGGTAAGGAGGAGGAGAATCCAGGTGACAAGGAAGAAGAGAGACTACCCCTGAGGTCTGAAGGAAGAGGAAGAAGGCTGTGTAAGTCTGAGCTGCAGGAGGTGGGCGATACTGCCCCCTGGGATGATAAGGTGGTACTGCAGGCTGTCTCAGAAGCACAGATGGCTTAAGAAAAAGCCATCAGAGGAGGGACAGGATGAGACACTGGTGTCCTAAACGTCTCAGCCTTCCCCTTACCTCCACCCCCAGCCCCAAGCCAGTGTAAGGATAGGGGCCAAGGGGAGTGATGCTGAGGCTGTACTAACTGAGTCCAGGACCCACCCAGCCCCAGCCCAGCAGACAGGGTGGCCAGCAGCCCTTCCTCTGCCCCACCAGGATGGTGTGCTGCCTGCAGAGCCCCACTCACCTGCAGCGCACAGAAGCAGCTGTGCAGATTGTCCAGCCGGGGGGCAAAGATGAACTCCTCATAGGCCCCACCCAGGACCTAGGGAGATACCACAGTCAAATTGACCTTCAACCCCAGCCCAGCTCCTGTTTTTCCACATTCTGAAGACTTGCACCTGAGCAGGCCTTTGGTTTCTTGGACAACCTCTCCCTGACCCTACTGGCCCTGCAGGGCAGGGCTGAGCTGAGAATGGAGACAGGTGCTGGGAGGGTGGAGGTCCAGCATGCTGACCAGTCCCCTGGGGCAGGAAAGGGTGGGGCTAAATGGTTACAAAAAGGCAGAAAGAAGAAGACTAACCAAGGAACAGAAACTCAGTGCAGGTTCAAACAGGACAAACCCCAAAGCAAGACGACTGTTGAGTAAATTCCCACTCTAGTTACAGTTACAGAGAACTGTTCCCTAGGATTTTCTTGGTGTGGCGCTGGCAGGATAAGCACTGGACCCCAAGGTCGGTTTGAACTGCAAGGTTGGTGGTTCAAATTCACCAGCCACTCCTTGGACATCCTATACAGGGTTGCTATGAGTCAGAACCAACTTGACAGAACTTAACAACAAAAAATAACAATCTTACGGCATCAGATTCCCAGGCCTTCTATAGCACTAATGGATGGGTTCAAACTGCCAAATATTGGGGTTGTATTGTTGTTAAGTGCACTCGAGTTGGTTCTGACTCATAGCAACCCTGTGTAAGGTTTCTGAGGAGCAGCTTGTGGGTTTGAACTGACGACCTTGTGGTTCACAGTTCAGCACTGAGGCATGATGTTATAGTCAAAGACAAACCATCGGTGCCACATTAAAAGTTTTAGCAATCTCCTATTGAAGGGAACTGGGAGAGACACAAAGAGAAGTTCCAGAAAAGGGGACACATGCAGGCCTCTTGGTCTCAGAAGTTTAGAGCCAGTGAGCGTGGGTCCAAGTGTGGACAGGGACCCCTCCCCGTGTCCTGCAGTAGACCTGCCTGGGGATCTGTAAAAAAGACCTCTCCCCAGGCCGTACCCCAGAGAGCCAGAGCAGCAGATCTGAGGTGGATGAGACCCACTGCTCTGGGGAAGAGAGGTGGTCTGTATGGGGGGAGAACAGGGAGGAGGGTACATGGAGCCATGCTGGCGGGGGGGGGGCGCGGGCTGCAGCGTTACTCACCGCAGGCTGGGTGTCTGCGAGGCAGAGCTCCATCTCTAAGATGTCCTCAGGGCTCAGCCCCAGATGGGCACACAGCAGGGACATGAGGACTGAGTGGTGCCGGTCATCCTGCAGGATAGGGGGCTGCTGAGAGACGATCCCTCCCCTCTTCTCCTCTTCCCTCTCCTACCATAGGGGCCATTCTTACCACAGAGTTGAGAGGCCCTGGCTCAGGAGTCCCCTTCTCCAGCTCCTCCTGGATGGTGGTGGCAAGAATGGGGACACTGTGAAGACACACGAGAGGGGTCTGTGGCAGGCACAGCTGAGTGGGGGAGGGGCATCCCTGAGCTCTGCACCTTCTGACGGGGGTACTGCCCTTGCCCTTCTGACTCCTAGCTCACTCTCCAAATGGCAGAGCTGAGAGGGCCCTTGGGCATCAATGGAACTCAAGAATAGAATGTGGTCATAGCCACTGTTAGGCAGTGGCCTCCCAGGCCCCACTGGGGCTCTTCTACCACACGGTGCCACACCCTGACCCCCTGCCCCCCCCCTTCCCGGCTTCAGCCACCATAGCCAGCTCCTGACTCACAGGTGCATCTCGGTGTTGGGTCCAAAGTTCTCGTTGATGTTTCTCTGAAGATGGATGGCCAGGTGCGGGATGCGGAGAATGGGCCGGTCCACATGCACCAGCCGCTGCTCCAGCCGGCCTGAGGTGGGGCACTGTGGCAGGCTGGCTGTCAGCATAGGCCATACCCCTTCCCCCCAGACCAAAGCAGCTTTCTGACCTCCTCTTCCCTGGGGGTCTATCCTGCTTCCCCAGGGGGCTTCACTATGGATACCATGAAGGGGAAGAACCATTCATCGTCAGGGCCCCAGTTCCCACCTTGACAATGACACGTCCAGCCAAGGTCAAGTCACGGTCAAACCAAGTGCTCCAGATCCCACCACCATAAGTCTCCACGCCCACCTGGTGGAAGCCAACCTGGCTGCGGCGAGAACGGCGTTTCACCTGAGCATGAGATGGGAAAAGGAAAGTCAGAGAAAGCGGAATGAGATGTGCTCATGTTACCACCTGGGCTGGGCAAGGCACTGGAGCCCGTCTTTCCTAAGTTTAGCTTCCGGTTGGAGATGAACTTAGACCAGAAGATGTTAACGAACACAGAGGCAAAGTATCAGTGCCAGATGAAAGGCACAAAGTATACAGGAAGGACAACTAATTTACCTCACTCCTGCTCCAGGGAATAAAAACACAAAAAAAAACAGTTGTCACTGAGTGGATTCCAACACACGGTGATCCCATGTGAGTGTGCCGTAGGGCTTTCAATGGCTCAGAACTTCCAAAAGGAGATCACCAGGGCTTCTGAGGCACCTCTGTGATGATTCAAACCACCAGCCTTTTGGTTATAACCATCTGTATGTAACCATCTATACCACCCAGGCTCTACGGAGTATGAAAACCAATTCAGACTCACTGCCACTGAGGTGATTCTGGCTTACAGTGACCCTATAAAGGGTTTTGAGATAGTAAATCTTTATGGGAGCAGACAGCCCCATCTTTCTCCCAGGGAGGGGCTGGTGGGTTCAAGCTGCTGACCTTGCAGTTAGCCCAAAGCCTGAACCACACGGCCACCAGGGCTCCTATATTATGGGGTATGTTGTTGTAAAGTGCGGTGGAGTCAGTTCTGACTCATAGTGACCCAAACAGGGTTACTGAGAAAGGGCTGATGGGTTTGAACCCCCGACCTTGGGGTTAGCAGTTAGTGCTTATCCTATAGCGCCATACCAGGGCTCCACTACAGAATATTACTGTTGTTGTTAGGTGCAGTTGAGTGGGTTCCGACTCACAGTGAGCCTGTATATGGTTCCCAAGGAGCAGCTGGTGTGTTTGAACCACTAACCGTGTGGTTAGCAGTTCAGTGCTAATCCTACAGCACCTTACCATGACTCTGACTGTACAGAGACAATTTGTGTATCCTAGCTCTGTTCTGCTCACACTCCCCGACACCCTCCACCCAAGCACCCTCAGCACAGGCCCAGTTCCTTACCCGGAGGCAGGGGCTGTCCGTGTGGGCACCAATGAGGCTGAAGCCATTGCCGGGAACATACTGACCCCCGACAGCAAAAGCGATGATGGTGGAGGAGTTCCTAGTCAGAAAGTACTGGGGAAGTGGGTGGGGCAGGATTAGCTTGCTGGCACACAGGGCTCTGAACCCCCGTCTGGTTGCCCTGTTTCCCCCAACTCCTCCCCACATACCTTATTTTCAGGTTTGATATCCCAGCTGTCCGTCTCCTTGAGTTCATGGAAGCCAGCCTGGAGGAGGCGGCTACGGCACTCAGCCACAACTGTAGAGAAAGAACACCTTCACAGCTATAGAACCGGTGGGGGCCACACCGAGCCCACCTTCCTTCCAGGAGCTGGCCACTTACCGTGGTAGGGAGAGGGGCTCCGGTTCACAAACTTGAGGAGTTCCCGGGCTGCGGCCTGCACCGCCTCTTTGCGGGCTCTGCCAGTCATGGCCACCTAGGGGAGCAGGACGTTCAGACTTCTTAGTGATCTGGGACCTCTGACCTTTTATCCAGGCTCGGAGGACCCTTATTCACACACTGCCAGATGAAACTGCTCTAAGGCTCAGAACTCTGCTTCCGCCTTTTCTCTACCCAGAGCCACAGATCCCAACCCTTCGAAGGCCCAACCCTTCGAGCCGGTCTCAAGTTCAGGATGCCCCGCCCCCCAATCTCAGTTTGGTGGGGTTCCCTAAGTCCCACCCCCGTCCCGCCCAACTAGGAAACCTTGGTCTAGGTCTGGCTCTCTAGCTCCCTAGCGGACCCCGAACTCTGAGTTGGTAGACATCATGTGCACGCCCCATCCTCGCTCCCCAACGCACACCCGTCTCTCGCAGCGGACCCTTGGCCACCCTGGGAAGGTGAGGTCACTAAGGGCAGAGCTTTTGGTTTCGTTTTGGGACGGACTCGCCCGCCACCACAACACGAGGCTGATCGCGGGTCCGAGTAGGCGCGGGCCTGTGGCTGGAGTTGTGACTGATACTCGTGCGGCCCCGGAAAGGACCCTCCTACCTGCATGTCCCCGCGCTTAGGGCCCAGTCGGCACGCTGCCCGAGCGCTTGCCCCACCTTCCGCCACGCCCCTTGCGCAGCCGCTGCAGGCGGACGCCCTCTGCCGGCTGGGAGGTGTTAGAACAGACGCGCATCTCTCCCTGGTTCTCAGGGCCGCAGAAACACGCGCCCCCTTCAGCTCACCCGGAGAGACGTGTGCTGTACAAAGTGCTTTCTCCCTGTCACCACCACCACCTTTGTGATAAATAAAAGCAACACAGCTAATGTTCTTGGAGCGCTCATGATGAACTTTAACTTTGTGATAAAGCTTATTATCTCGTTTAATCTTCAGAACTGCCCTGTTAACTTTGTTTTTTTAACTGTCCCGTTGTATACATGAACAAACTGAAATACAGAGACAAGTAGCTTGCCTCTCGCAGTAAATGGCAGAGGTGGGGTTTAGACCCAACTAATTTGACTTCAGAGGCCTAGAACCACCGTTGTAGGCTGCTCTGAGATTTTTTCTGGACCGTTTTCTACACACCCTGCTAATAGTATGTTAGGAGTCCTTTAGTGGCACAAACGGATAGGCGCTACTAGTCTCAAGGGTTGGAAGTTAGAGTCTACCCAGAGACTCCTGCGGAGACAGGCCTAGTGATTTTCTCTCAAAAGGTCATGAAAATCCTATCGAGCATTTCTACCCTAAACATATGGGGTCACCATGAGTTGGCATCAACTAGACAGCAACAGGGGTCTGGTGATGCAGATAAATTACTAGACTGCTAACTGCAAGGTTGGTGTTTCAAAGCCACTAGCTGCTCCTCAAAATCCTATACAGCAGAAGTGGGTTGTTGTTGTGTGTTTTTTTTTTGTTTTTTTTTTGTAAGGGCCATTTGAATATTTATAACAACACTGAATAGGAGCTCTGGTAGCGTAGTGGTTATGGATCAGGCTGATAACCTCAAGGTTAGCAGTTTGAAACTACCAGCTGTTCCTTGGGAGAAAGATGAGGCTTTCTGCTCCTGTAAAGATTTACAGCCTCAGAAACCCTGTGTAGGGTGTCTATGAGTCTAAATGACTCCACAGCACCAAAGCTCCTAGATGTATTGAATTTTGAGTCTTGCCCACAGTTGCCTTGGAAAGGCAGACAGACTGAATAATTTCTGGCTTATACAGCCTGCCCCTACTATATAGGGTCTCTAGGAATCAGAACAGATTCTAGGGCATTTTACAACAACAGCCAACAAGTAATGTAACAAAGTATTCCTGTTACATAGGAGGTCTCTGCAGGACAGAGAAGTAAATGACAAATCAAAACAGTTCCATGGTTCCTGGAGGCATTTCCAAGTGTCCTATGTCAACATCGGTAATTTGTTTTTCAAACCCCATCCACTTGCCTGGCCACAGATTCTGATCAGGGCTCGGTAGCCCCTAGGTTCAAAACAGGGCTAGGGATCAAAAATCAACATTCCAGGGATGTGACTCTGTGAAGTCACCTCCCTTTTGTTCCTGGACTGGGAGTGATAGGGAGTGGCTAGAAAGGCCCTGAAGCTCTCACTTCAAGTCTTGGACATTGCAAGGAAGTTTACAAGAATACACACACTTAGTAATGAGTGGTTGTTGATAGATGCCATCAAGTTGGTTCTGACTCATAGGGACCCTACCTATAACAGAACAGAACACTGCCTGGTCCTGTGCCAGCCTGACGATCGTAGTTGTTTGAACCTATTGTTGCACTACTGTGTCAACAGACCCGCTGAGGTCTATTTTTCACTGACCCTCTACTTTACCAAGCATGATGTCCTCCAGAGATTGGTCCCTCCTGATACGTTCAAAATACGAGAGATGCTGTCTCACCATCTTGACTTCTAAAGAATATCTGGCTGTACTTCTTCCAACACAGATTTGTTTATTCTGACAGTCCACAGTACTTTCATTATTCTTCACCAACACCATAATTCAAATGCATCGATTCTTCTACAGTTGTCTTTATTCATTGTCCAGCTTTCACAGGCATATGTAAAAATAGTGTTGCTTGGTTCAGGTTCACCTGAGCCCTCAAAGTGATACCTTTGTTCTTGAACACTTTAAAGAGGTCTTTTACACCAGTCTGTCTTAGTCTGGAAGCTCTGCTGAAACATGTCCACTATGACTGACTATGTTGTTAAGTGCTGTAGAGTCTATTCTGACTCATAGTAGCCTTGTATAGCATTTCCAAGGAGCGACTGGTGGGTTTGAACCATCGACCTTGTGATTAACAGTCCAGTGTTTATCCTACAGCAGCAATACACCAGAACTCCTACTGGTACTTAAAATATCAGTGGGATAGCTCCCAGCATCACAGTAACATGCAAGGCACCACAGTACAACAAACTGACAGGCAAGTGGTAGGTGCTTCTCCTGTTGTTGCTAAGCAATGTTGATTCGGTTCTGACTCGTAACGACCTTGTATAGGGTTTCTGAGGAGCAGCTGGTGGATTTGAGCCTCCAATTTTGCAGTTAGCAATACAGTGCCACTTGATGGTGTGGTGGTGTGCAGTGGAATTGGTTTTGACTCATAGCGACCCTGAATAGGGTTTCCGAGGCTTAAGTCTTTAGGGGAGCAGAAAGCCTCATCTTTCTCTGGCGGAACAGCTGGTAGTTTCAAACTGTATACCCATTATGCTACCAGAGCTCCCTGCAGTGCCACCTAAAAGGACTTAATTTAAAGAAAAAAATATTGAATGTTCCCACATGTTCATGTGAGAAATTCAAACATCATCAGAATGCACAAATTAGAAAGTGAAAATAAACGCTTGATAAAAAGTGGACACCCATTCCTATAAAACAAAACAACAACCGAAAAAAAAAAAAAAAGTGTCCTCTTACTAAGCCCGGAAGAGAAAGGATACAGGCTGCCTGCCAGAAACACAGTGGGGAACTGGAGAAAGGCTCCTGTTGACGTCAGAAGATGAGCTAGGACTACTGGTAGCCACTGTAAGTTTCTAGTCAGAGTCAATGCAGCAAAATGCCACAAAGGAAACATTTGTGTGGAAAAGTAAAATGTGTCAGTATTGGTAGATGATATGATTACCTAGAACGTTTAAGAAAATTTACGAACAAGCTTCTTGAACTGGTAGAAGAGTTTGTCAAGGTGGCCTGATTAAAACAAAACAAAACATCATCTTTCTTGTGCAATAATCAACTAAAAGGCATAATAGTAAAAGTGTCCTATTCAAAAGAGCAACAAAAATGATTAAATTTCTAGAAAACATATGGGATTGCTGTAACCAGGGAAATGCAAGTTAAAAATGAGCATTTCTGATTTATCGGAGTCACAGGAATGAAAAGAATCGTTAATATCAATCATTGGAGAAGATTTGGAATACTTCATGTCTCTGTACCCAGTTTCTGTGTTATACACACTCCCGATGACTATTTTCAAACTGCCAACATGGTATTACTGAATGCAGAGCTGGGAAGAGATGTGCAGGAATATAAAATTATTCCAGAGGGCTTTAAAAAGTTCATGGGAAAAGATCATGGATTTTGAAGCCCCCTTTGTATAGATTTCCACCATGCAAATACAAGATATAGAGCCTCAAAAGCATAGAGTTTTAAATGCAGTAAAATAATTAGAAAGTGGTCATTTTTTAGTATTACCTGTTTTTAATATAATTTATTACTTGTAATTTTATGTAATCTTTATTTTTTTAAATGATGATCAGAAAGTGTTTAATAATCAGAAAGTTTGTCAATCAGCTTTCATGAGCCGGTCTGAGCTGGGGCTAGCGCACAACAGGCACACATACGCTCCCATCTTTGACACTCAACGTGTGATCTGTTGACCAGCAGCATCAGCAACACCTGGGAGCTTTTGAAAGCTGCAGAACCTCAGGACTCACCCGGGGCCTGCAGAATCAGGATCTGCATGCTAACAAGGTCCCTAGATGATTTGAATGCATGAATGTTGAGATGCACTGTTTTTGAGTACCATGTGGCAGCAAAACAGAAAATGAGGTTGATCTTTATATATTGTCATAGAATGTTCCAGATATGTTGTTGAATAGAAAGAAGCAATTTCCAGAATAATATTTATAGGGCAGGCGCATTTAAGTAAAACTCACCTAATGAGCCAAATATATATATAATCTAAATCGTATGTGCAAATGTTTGGGAACAAGTTTTGAAGGAGAGTGGTCACCTCTAGATCAGGGAGTGGTATCAGGTGTAGGGTGGTCAAGCTGGGTGCAGGGGACAGGAACGTTATCCAAAAAAAGTTTCTAAGAATCATTCTCCCTCTCAACCTCCTGGGGAAATCTTCCCCACCAACCCTGAACCAGTATTTCCAATGCTACCGTTATTGATTTATCTTTTTGGTTTAACAAATATTAAAGTTCAAAACACTGTGATTTGACGCATTGATCAGTTATGCACACTTCAGTGTAAATTTATTTGGTATACATGTTGTTTCCGATCCATCATTTTCCGATCCATCCAGCAGCTTCCCAAGAAGTAATTTATCACATAATTTGTTAAGAATGATTTGGTAGCGAGAAGACCAAAGCATTAAGAAGAGAAGGTAGGTGTATATGTGTGTCTTGCCCCCTAATTTCTAAAATGGGGGCAGTGAGGGGTTGAATCAGATCTGATCTTCTGATGACAAGACAGCCCTAGGCTATCTCATTACTGGTGGATATCCTGGTAGCTTAAATACTCAGTTATTTAAACATAAATACTTTGTTCCTAAGAAGTGAAGATATCGAGACTTTGTATCTTGTCCTTTAGACATGTGGTCAGAAGGAACCAGTCCCTGGAGAAGACATCAGGCTTGGTAAAGTGGAGGGTCAGTGTAAAAGAAGACCCCTCCCCATGAGATGGATTAAAACAGTGACAGCAACAATTGGCTGAAATCTAATAACTGTGAGGATGGCTTAGAGCCAGGCAATGGTTTCTTCTGTTGTGTATACGTTCACTATGAGTTGAAATCAACTCAATGGCACCCAACAACGTAACAACACTTTACTTTTGGGTATGATGATATTCGTTGCCATGGACTCGATTCTGAC